TGCTGTGTGTGTGTGACGCGGGGCCGGAAAAAAAAAAAAAATTCCCGGGGATATCTAGCGCGTTGCAGCGCGAGCGCACCAAGGCACCTCGAACCCAGCAGCGCATAACTGGTCTAGGACTGGCATTGCGACTAGGCGGAACGTCGAGCGCCGAGAAACACTTGTAACCCTGGCGGTATATCGTGGGTTATTCGTGTGTTCGTGAGTCGTATGCGTATGGTAGGGGGGGGCGGTGTCGCGGTCGGAGGTAATGGCTCTCGTCCGCTGAGTGCCCTCTGTCTAGTTTAAGCTTAGGTGTGTATGGCCGCACCGCGACGCGCGCGGCGTGTGTGTGTGTGTGTGTGTGGCGTCGTGTGTGTTGTGTGTGTGTGTGTGTGTGTGTGTGTGTGTGTGTGTGTGTGTGTTGTGTGCGTGTTGAGTCGCGTTCATCTTCTCCGGTCAGTGTTTTTCTCTCCCTCTACAGTAATACAACAATTATTGTTCAAGTGGCTATCAGCATAGATTTTAAGCGAAATCACTGTTTCCGCACCCGAGTTACGGAGACCCCCTCTTTAAACGTTCCAGTTTCAAAAGCATTCGAATTTCCAACAGAATCCTAGCTAGTTCCGAATGACCGCCCCATGTTTCGAACATAGCCGGTTCCAGGGCATTCACACAAACCAGTACAGTTCCAGAGACCACAATTTTTCACCAGTCTTGAGTTAGTTCGCAGAGTTTAGAACCGTGCGTACGCCAAATGTTGATCGAATCTCTGGTGTAGAATCCACTAACGCCATCGTAAGCTGCTGGCTGTTGAGGGGCGTGCCTAGCATAAAACAATCAACACTGTGCGACACAATACCATAGAACAAACTGACAGCGCCTCTCTTGTATGTAAACCATATGGCTCTAGGCTGTCTAGCAAGGAGTCTGGAGAGGATGTGGAATAGTGTCCATATTTCAAAATTGTGTTCAAACACTCGAATGAAAGAGCGCAACACGTGCGCGTGCGTGCGTGCGTGTGCACGTACACCGTGCCGTGCTTGCGTACGTACACGGGCGTCGTGTCGTGCGTGGTGTACTGTAGCACGTGCGTGCCTTGTGAGCACGTCTACAATGCGTGCGTGTGCATAACAAGTGCGACACGGGCAATGTGCACGTACACGGCTAACTACGAACTCGCTTAGTAATCGAAAACGAATGCCACAGCATACAAAAAAGCGTCACAAAGGCCGCCGCCTGTCTGTGTAGTATGGTATATTAATTTAATTGTATTTTTAGTTGAGGTAGTAATTTTATAATGTTTCTCTCAATAGAATAAGATCGCAGTTGCTGCGGTATCCCGCTGGAAACACGTCTGCCGGCAAATTTTCGAGTGGTCCTTACCGGACGCGTCGTCAGCTCGTGTAAAGTATCGCAAAAGTTTACTAAAATTTAGACTTGATGAATATCGCAACATAAAAACGCCTCGGCATTGCGTACGGCGAAAATCGGTACGCCAAATTTCTAAAATAAGCGGCTGTGTATGCGATGAATCGCAACTAACAACGTCGATTGG